CCACAGAGGACAAAACGCAGCCCCCTAGCACGGCACAGATGGACCACAGAGGACAAAACGCAGCCCCCTAGCACGGCATAGATGGACCACAGGACACAGTGCTGCGTGAGCTGAGCCAAGGCCAGAAAGGCCGACAGTGGGTGCCTTCAGCTCAGGCAGAATGCAAAGGACTCAGGGGTGGGCTGTCAGTGAGCAGAAGCTAGGAGAGAAGAGAGTGGACCCCAGCAGCCAAGGCACAGGCTGAGCAGTCGGAAGTTCCAATACTCTGGCGCATGAGGAGGCTACAGCTACAATCAGGCACCATGCATCTCAACGCAGCTGTAAGAGGGGTTTTTCAGCAACATCACCCCCAAAGAAATGGTGAGGGGATGCACGTGCTAATTATTCTGATTTGAAAAGGAAAAGGCTGGACACAAATCAGTCACTCCGGGTAAAAGCCAACCCGAGTGTAACAAAAGCTGAAATCAAGAACCACTGACCTGGGTCCATGCACCTCCTGACTTCCTGCTTGGCTGCTGCATAGGAAGAAGGAAGTGAGCGAGGGGTTTGCTTACCTTGAATCTTCCAGCAAGACTGTCTGCCAGCGTTCCATCGATGCTATTAACCGCGTCAGGTACTTCTTGAAACTCGATGCTGGCTTCAAGCTCTGAGGGAAAGCCATCCTCTCTCCCGTGGTCTTCTCCTCTTGTGCTGATGTGACATTTTTCCCAGAAGTTCCATTAATAAAAGTCTCAGAAACTGGTTGGAACAAAATGCTTCCAGAGCTGACCCACTGGGAGTCGTTGGGGAGGAGGCTTGAGAGGCCGGTTCTAGCTAGCAGCTCCTCGATTGCTTTTTCAAGTTGACAAGTTATACTCTGAGTCGAGGACATGTTGGAAAATAAACCTTTCCTCAAGTCCTCTCCATTGCCACTTCTGAGTCTATGAGAAGCTTTCATGCCTGCGGTAATGGCTTCTGAAAGGCCACATGGAGACAGAGCAGATGGCGGCAACAGGCTGAAAACATCCTGTACGCTCCTTTTTAAACCACCCCACAAAGTGTCTAAAGTGAGACCAGCCAGCATTTTCACATAAGTTCCCATCTTTGTGCTATTTCCTGTTAACACTTTATCCAAAGCGTGAATCATTTCATGAATTCTTTCCCATCTGGCATCTTGGGGGCCACTATGAATGGAAGCAGGATTGGAGTGCAAGAAGCCGATTTGACTGGTGACGTAATTTATCGGAACTAAGCAACCCAGAATGTCCTCCCATGAATTGACAGAATCCACAGGAAATATTTGAGTTCTGTTACTAAACACCACCATGAGGTGCCCCAAGTCTCCCAAATCAATTTTCACAGAAGTCAAAAACTGAGCCATTTCTTCCAAAATCTCAGTGAAGTCCTTGGATTGGGTCACCTCTGCAAGTGAACTAAGTGGCAAGCTGGAAATGCCAGAGTCCTGTAAGAACTTAGGTTTCACCCCATTCATTCCAAAGACCAGGTCAAGAAATGGCACCAACACATCATTTATGCTTTCAAATACAAAATGATCCTTTTTCCAAGTTGCCATTCCCTTCATGAGTTGTAGAACTCTTCGCTTCATGGTGAAATAAAGAGTGTTCAAGAATTTCTTGCTGTCTTTGGTACTGGAGACAAAATGAGTTTTGGAAATCATGGCTATCTTCCCTGAAACTCTCTTGGCCAGCTGGAGAAGTTCCACAAAGGAGTCCACTGTCGTGGCCAGCTCTTTCAGCCTAGCGCTGTCATCCAACAGTGTGGCTAGAGTTCTAGATAGTTCTACCAGGGGCTCCAGGACACGACTGTCTGCGCCAGCATCAGAAATGACTCCAAGCAGCATCTGAGTGATTTCTAAGGCTTCTCTGTTTCGCAGAGGAAATGAGTTGTTTGTAAAGAAAAGCAGGTCAGTGAGGTTAGCAAGCAGGACTTCTTGGAGCACAGGACACGAGGTACGGAAGCCCTCGGGAGAGGTTAGCAGAGCGCTCACAAGATTGGCCATCCCTGCGGAGCTTTCTCGCACAAAGTGAAGAACTGAACTAAGGGACTGGTGGAGCAGGACGAGATCCACAGAGCCGTTGACACGGAAGAGCGCCTGGCTCAGTGCTGCAGGAGGGTACTGGCCTCCTTCAGGGTTATTCTCCACTGAGGCTTCCCTCAGAAGGGCACGGACTAAATCCTGCACGGGCTGCAGCCCTCCGAGGTTATCAGAATACGATGTCCCCCTGTCTTTCGTGAAAGAACTTCTGATCAGGTGGTAGACAGCCTCCCTTAAGCTTGAGAAAATTCTCCTCCATGTGTCCTTGTTCCTTGAGGTCAGAAACTGATCCAGCTTCAGAGCTTCTAGAATGTGATCTCTGGGGACAGAACTGTAAATATGGATGTTAATGTTCCATACGATACCAGTGGAGAGATTACAACACGTGATGATTTCTTGTGCTTCACCATCATGTCATGGGCGAGCACCGTAGGGCGAAAGACGACACATGAAAATAACTTCAGGTGAAGGTTAATTTTATGGTTGACCCAATAAGGAAAAAAGCGTAGAAATTTTATGGACAATTCTATCACAATCCTTTGAGCCTGGTAATGTGAAAAACTATATAGTTGGTTCCAGAAAAGATGTGAAATGGCCAGGTATGCTTAGCACATTCCTGCAGCCCCAGCGCTCTGGGAGCAAAGACAAAAGGACTCCAAGTTTGAGCCTAGCCGGGGTAAACTTAGGGAGACCATGTCTTAAAATAAGAAATAAAAATTTAAGTGGGACAGGGAAGTAGCTCAGTGTGAAGACATGAGGTTCAGTTTCAGTACCAAAAAGAAACAAAGGAAACAAGGGAAGAGGGAAGAGAAGTGAGGGAGGTGAGAGGCTATGTGACCACAAAGAGATTCCTTTTTTTTTTTTTTTTTTTTTTTTTTTTTTTGGTGGTACTGGGGATTGAACTCAGGACCTTGTGCTTACCAGGCAAGCACTTATTCTACTGAGCTATCTCCCCGGCCCAACAAAGTGACTCTTGATAGGCGAGATAGCTCTGGAAATATGGAAAGCCTAATTATACTCTGTCTGTATTTTCAATGGATCACTTAGGTACGTGAAGGATCCATGGTAAGCCTGCTTGGCTAGGTACAACCGCAGCTCAGCAGGCCCTTTCTCGGGGGTCCCTGCTTACGTGGGCTACAAGGAAGAGTTCCACAACACATGGGAGTTGGAAGCTCTCTTGGAGCATGACTATGCCTCCCCCAGCCCCTCAACCCAACCCAAATCTAAGTGTGGCTGAGAAGGGATTTTGCAGATGAGATTAAAGTCCCTGGTCAGTTAATTCCAAGAGAGTCAGGAGAGAGAGTGCCCTGGGTACCTGATGCAATCAGTTGCTAGGCTAAAAAAACAGGGCATGGGGCTGCCCTGCAGACCCCACAGCAGCTGGGCAGGCCATTGGCTCCTCCTTCCTGAAGACCCCCCAGGCCACAGGTGCAGCACACGCTCCTTGTGTCCCTGCCTGCCAGGACTTCCCTCCTGGTGGCTGGCCCTACTAACTATGGAACTGCTTGTTGTCTCAGCCACCTTTATCTCGTTGCTGGGAAAAAAAAAATACCCAACACCCAGAATTAAGGAAAAAAGATTGGGACCCTGCTCCGTAGCTCAGTTCTTTAAGTGGCTGCTTCAACAAAGCAGTCAGGCTCAGGTTGCTGTGGTTCGATCCCTACAACTCAAGGCAGCCAAACCTGCCCTGAAGGCACTCGGAGCAAAAAAAAAAAAAAAGGAAAGAAAGATTTATTTAGAGGTTTCAGTCCATACTCAGCTAGTGCCAAGGTAGAGTGGTACATGCAAGAAGGCAGCCTTTCATGGTGGTGGAAAACAGCAAAGAGCAAAGGCAGGCGCAGTGGCTGTGGCAGCTGGCAGGCTTCTCTTCCCTCCCTTCTACGGGATTCAGGCTATCGGCCCCAGAGTGGGTGTAGCTCTCACACCCTTAATCCAGTACTGGCTCATGAATTAATCACAAACTCTAGAAGCCACCCCATAACTGCATGAGGCTTTGGGGGGCACACTCAGACACATACCATAATACCTACCAGCCCCCAAGTTAGAGGACCCAATTCCTTCAGTGAAGTCCTTCCTAGAGTGCCGGCTCCACGTGGAGCCCTAACTTGAGCAACACTGAACAAACCAGAAACTCCCTTTAGCATTTCCACTAGGAAGATTCAAAGATATCCCAGAAGATACAGGAATACAGATAACTGATTACTCATGCTACTGTTCCCAAATAAAAACATCATGGGAGATAGGGGCCGGGGAGATGGCTCAGTAGGATAAGCGCTTGACTAGCAAATGCAAGGATCTGAGTTCAATACCTGGTTCCACCCAAAAAAAAAAAAAAAAAAAAATTAGAAAAAACATCACGGGAGATAGACTAGAGTGGAAATATTTGAACCCTCCATTTTTAATGCAGCAATTTAAATCACTGCGCTATATATGTGCACTCAATGGTACTTTAGTTCACAAACTTAATTCTTCGCAAGATTTTGGTCACAACCAGATGAATCATAAACCAAATAAAATCAGCTCAACAGTGAACCTAACCCCTGAATTTTATTTGGTTCATGACCAGTTTGTTTTGTGACCAGAACCATGGACAGATTAAGTTTGTGAATGGAGGAGCCACTGTACTTCCTAAAAACTGCATTTTCAACTCCATCTAAGACAGAATTTCAAAAAAATAAAAATAAAAATAAAAAAGACAGAATTTCATAATTATTTTCATAATCTAAAAATGAAAGAATAAGTGATTTCTTATGACAGACTAAACCAAAGGGTCTAGTACTTCAATAACAATAACAAAACCATTGGGCTGGGGAGATAGCTCAGCGGCACAAACGCCTGCCTGGCAAGCACAGGTCCCTGAGTTCAATTCCCAGTACAAAACCACTTATTTTCCCTTGCTATTTTGATAAAATGTTCATGAAGACAAATTAATTTCAAAAATAATTTAAGGGTGTTCAGGGAAAATGCCATGCCTGGTGTTTCTATACTCCAAACAATAAAGTGGTTCGAAATATCTAAAAGCAGCACATACCATATAGAGCCAGCATGAACTCACCTCATCTCTGCAGAAGCTTCATCAAGGTCTCTCAGCAGAAGAGATATCTTGTGCTCAGCATCTTCTTTTAGGAGGAGGGAAAAGAATGTTTTCAGAAGCTGATCCACAAAATCCACCATGTGTCTTGGAGAGAGAAGGGTTTTCCCTGCATCTCCTGGCCATGGATGGTTCAAGGTGAGGTTGATGAGCTTCATCATGTGAAAGTCAGCAGCAGAGTCACTTGGCTCCTGAGAACTCCCACCTATGCTGCTGACGGCACTGAGCCGAGTGTTTTCCAGAAGCCCCTGAACAAGTGAAAAATTAGTCAGCTGTTCTAGGTGTAGTAGGGGAGAAAGAAAGGCAACACTGAAATTGCTTTCTCTAGAGATGTTTTTTAGATAGTCCCAAAAGGTACTGATAGCTTCCATCAACGCGGCTCTATTTCCAGTTGAACTCTCATTGGACACAGGGACAAACAGTGCCCGCATCCACCTGGAGGAGTCTTCCTTTGCATAGTCGCGAAGCCAGCTTTCTGTGACGGGGAGAAAATCTTCGATAATGTTCAACATTGTCAATGATGATGCATTGAGGAGTTCTAGAATGTCGGAAAACTGCAAAGTTGTGTTTTGAAGGGCCACCAAACTTACACTTTGGATTTCTTTGGCAATTTCAGACAGGAGGTGCCTGACATTCTTGTCCTGTATCAGGACCCCCACAAACTCCATGAAGTCCAGCCACAGTTCTTCAGTGTTATACGTTACTTCACTTGGTTTAAGAAAATGTGCTAATGCTTGCAAACTGCTGCCTATACGACTTGCATTCAGAAGGTTGACGGAGGGAGGGAGAAGAGAATGAATTCTGTTTTCTAGGTTCCAGGCCCCAGTAATTGATTTGCTTATTCTTTCCAAATTTACGGAAATATTATTTTGAACAGCCGTCTCTGTACCTTCAGCAATATTAAGAATCTTGTTTAAACTAGCGAGCTTGTCAAGAATGTTCTTAGCATAGGTAAATCTTGTGAAGTTGACATTTGTTAGATTTTCTATAATTTTCAAAGCAACTTGCTTAAGAGGACCACCAGGACAAAGTTCAGGGATGCTGCCATTACTTTCATTTCCAGAAGGTGGGACAAAGGGTAACACTTTGTGCCAAAGTTCCTGAACAGTTTCTAGCAGTGAGGTTTTAATGTGGAATACTCCAGACAGCTCCAAAAGAATGGAATTCCAGTCTGCTAGATCATGGATTGCACAGACCGCTTTCCTTGTCATTTCCAAGTGTAAACTTTTGTTTGAACATTGTGAATCCTGCCCTGGGCGAGGCAGGTGGAGATGGTCCAGCATGCTGGCCACTTTGCCATAAAAGGAAGAAGACATGAGCACCTGCACATCGCAGCCTTCCAGCTCAGGATTCTGCAGAAACCCAGGAGGTGCGTGTGTCCTGCACCAGAGCACAGGAAAGCACGTGAGAGCCTCGGACACCAGAGTGGGTTGGTGCAAGATCTGTTCGATGGTATCAGAAAGCGTTTCTATCACCATGGCGAAGTCCTCCTTGGAGACGCTGGCAATGCCAATGCCATGAAGGAGCACGAAGTCATGGACATCCTGGAGGCCTTCCGTGAGGTTTTTATCAGCCACTCTCTCCAGGAGCCGCACAACATGAGGAAGAACATTGTACACATCCACCACTGCTTTGACCACGGCTCTGGGGAAGAGGCGGGACAGCCGCAGTAGGTGACTCACATGCCAAGAGTGTGAGCTGTCTACGATCTTCTCCATCAAGCCGACAAGCAGGCGGACCCCTCGGTCATCGGCGCCTGACCTACTGACATTCTTAAAGAACTCCACTAAGCTTTCGCTGATTTGCTCCAGCGGGCCTACTAAAAGGTCTACGTCTGTCCTCCTGAGACTGCGCATGAACGATGACACTCGCTTCAAAGCTTGACCATGACCTGTGCCAACTGGAATATCGTGCTGGACCATGGGCATTAAGGAGTTGAGCACATCCCTTGCCAGCTGAATACCAAGTTCCACTGACGTCCTTATTTCATTTGGAGCAATTTCTGATGCATTCTGGAGACCGCCAGATAAGTTGAAGGTAAGGTAACTAGCCAAATGATAAAATGACCTGCCTAAACTGTCCAGGTCCTTTTCCTTTAAAGTGGTGCCAAACAAACTCAAGATTTTTTCAGCCTTAGAAGAAATATTTCCCAGGATATTAGGGGAAATATCTTGTACAAGTTTTTGAGCTTCTTTCCCAAGTGCTATTAAATGCAACCAAATATTCCGAAACTGACTCGGAATTTCATCTGACACTTCTACAGGTCTAAAGATTAACCCATTAAAATGCTTCCAGTTAGACTGGGGGGCAGAACCAAACTCCCTCGTTAAGTTCTTGACAATCATCCTCACGTGGTCTGTAGAATCATTCAAAAGAGCTAATACAATTTCAAATTTAGGTTCCTTCTCTTTTTCAAAGACTGTAGTCAGTATAGTATTTAGACAGTCAGTTATATCTTGCAAGTAAGTATTTACACAGTTTATATTTGGTTCATTCAAAGAACAAAGAGGTTTCCTCTTATCTAATATCCAAGTCACAATTTTCAACGTAGAGTTGATTTTGCTTCCTAAATCTGGGAAACTCCCAACAATACTGGAAACAAGGCCCTGTGAAAAATTTGAGTTGTACCTTGAGTATAGGTGGTTGATGGCATCTACCCACGCAAGGCATCCTCCTAGGTGACTCTTAAAGTTCTCTGAGAAAAATGTGGAATTAAACATGGCCAGAATATGCACCAACCTCTGGGAAGTATTTGCATGCAATAAGCCATCTTTTAAGATGAGCTCAGTCACCTTTTGGAAGACGTCAGCACAGGACGATAAATCTCCATCAGGTGACACATGTCTCAGGAACAACACTGTTTCTCTTAGCTCAGAAATAACACTTTCAAACTTTGCTCTGTAATCTGTGAGATTGATGGAGAGGAAGTGATTTGTCAACTCTGCATGTCCACCCAGATACTCCGACACATTGCTTAACTCAATGAAAACATCAAGCAGGGCATATAAAAACTGTCGGCTTGTACTCGAGTCCAGTGGGAATGACTTTAGCTGATGCAGGGCAGTTTCCATGGTGGAAAGAGATCTCTCCACTTGGTCCAGGTTCAGTGACCTCACTGCAACTAGTGCATCACCTAATGGGACCCAAACATCCCTGAGCTCCAGAAAAGCATGCCCAATGTGGAGGCCATCAGCATGGGATACATTCTCAAACAAATTTAATATGAGTCTAGCCATGCGACGGTTGGGAAGCAGTCCTCGGCAGCTTTTAGCAATTTGCACATCATTTTCCAATTCGTCCAAAATTTGAGTGAGACCAACACGAAAAGAAGCGAAAACATTCAAGTCAAAATTAAATATGTGAGACAGGCTCTCCCAGATTTCAGCCCACATCTGAAGCCATGAAACTGTACAGTGAATGGCCATAAACTCGTTGAGCACGTTGACATTGGCAGAGAGCGTTGAGTATATTTGTGCCCATGGGAGGAGTAGTGAAGGCCTCTTGGCTGTTGAATGGTTTGAGGAAGAATTTGTTTGATTTTCCAAACTAAAGCACTCACTCCCCACCATCAGCTCATCCCCTGAACCGTTGACGAGCTGGCTCACATACTGAAACAGGGAAATGCGAAAACCCTCATCTGCTACCAGCAGCCGCTTGATGACTGTCAAAGTAGCGTGGATGCCTTCCAACTCTGGGTCCCCCGTGGACGTCAGGGACTGGGCTTGGAGTTCCAAAAAATTAAAAATGGAAAGCAACTGCTGACAGTAAGATTCTTCAGAAATTTTCCCAAGAACCCCAGCAGCCTCAGACAAAAATGCAAATGCTCTCCTGATGTCTTGGAAATTAAACTGCTTTGCAATGTCCAAAACGCGTCTTGAGATTTGGCTGAGGTAAGTTAGCAATGGCTCTCCATTCGGCAGGCTCAAGAGTTTATAAAGATACTGGTAAAATGAAGAACAAATTTGCAGAAGTAAAGCAGAATCCTTGTCTTTGAAGACGTGTAGGTAGATATGGGTCAAAATTCGATCGATTTCTTGTTTTTGAAGGTCAGAAATGGCCGAGAAAAGATCAGATGCGTTGCTGATAGCATGCATTGTGTCCAGTGCTTCTGAGACTTCTCCTGGCGTCAGATATCCAAACTGAAAGAGACTATGTATTATAGATCTGCTTATATGTACAAAATGCATGCTCACAGCTGGTGACTCAGGCCCGTCTGGACGGAACAACTGGGAAAAGCTAAGATTCTTACTCAGAATCGTCTCATTCTCTGGGACAGAAAAATTTAGAAGCGTAGCTGTTTCCAACTCAGCTGCTGCTCCCTCCAAAATGCCGAAGAGCCATAACTCTGGCACCTTGGGATTCAGTTCAGAAAGCGTTAGCTCCAGGACTCCCAAAGCATTTTCGTATACCTTCCTCATCCAATGGCCTCCATGAGTTTGTATTTTTTCAATCACCATTTTGCCAAATTCCAGAAGTTTCTGAGCATCAACTCTAGATGAGTTTGTCCCTAAACTTTTAAAGTGATTTACCCACAATACACTTCTGTTCAGAAACTGGTCGAGAAGGGAGGAGATGCTATGAAATTCATGAGCACTAGATGATTCAGAAGGATCAGGCGATAATAATTCCTCCAAAAGTTCCACAAATGATAGAAGAAAGTGCGTCTCTTCATTCTCACCAGCATGCCACTTCTTTTCCATACCTAGAAGGTACTTCGTGAAATTGAAAGCCCTACAACATTAATAGAATAGTTTTAGTAACAGAAAGAGAAATAAAATCAGCATATTCATTTGCTGACATACAGTAATATATGGCATACCCAAATGAAACATTTACAGACAGCATATTTCTCAACACACATTAAACTATGGGGAGTATCTGGAGGTGTTTTAGAAGTCCCAAATGCAGGTGTAGGTAGTTAGCTTAAAATATGTTTCTTACAGTCAGAAAAAATGCCTTATAATGTTTTTTTCTCCTGTGCACTCACATACAAAGAATTTCTCTGTCAAAGATAAGTTTGCCGTTTATGCAAGAAGAATCTTAGGATTCCTTTTCAGATTTCATTTCAAAATGTCTTGGGCTACCAAGGAAGTCCAGAGGTTAGACGCTTCAAACACGGTACCAGCACCATTTGAAGGCCGGGCTGGGGCTCCCTCTGTTCGAGGGCACAGCCACTGCTCCTTTGCATGAGAAGGTAGGCTTTCTCTCCAGGCGCTCCCTTTTAGAATGTGAGGAGCTCCCAGAAGGTCATGGCCAGTTCCCTCTTGAAGCGCTAACTTCTAACTCAAAAGTCACAGCCACCATGAAAATCCTTGGTGTTTCAGAACTCAGAATGCTTTGATTTTAGGGAGTTTGTGTGTTTCACCTCTAATACACTGACCCTAGGCAGTGCCACCTCTAAGCCGTCTCCCCACTGAGGGACTCCAGCCTCACATGGGCTCAGGCCACAGCACTGCTGTGTGGCTGTGACACCAGCCACAACTGTAGCTTCTGCTGCCCGGCTTCCTGGGAGCTGGAATTGTGGTTAAGGGTTTTCAGCCCTTTCCTGGTGCTCATGCCTGGAACGGCCAACTCCTTTTATTAGACTCTCCTTTCTCTGACTCTAGGTAGTTATAGAAAAGACAAAATGCACACAATGTTCTCTTCCTGGCTAGCAGCTGAGAGCAGAGTAAACGTGCACAAAAATTAATTTAATTAATTGATGTTTGTAAGATAGAGAATACCTATTTTGCGTGTGTGTGTGTGTGTGTGTGTGTGTGTGTGTGTGTGTGTACAGTACCAGGGATCAAACTCAGGACCTTGGGCTTGCCAGGCAGGCACTTAAGCTGGTGAGCTATATCCCTGGCCCCAAGAGAATTCCTCTTTTGAAGCAATTTCTGAAAAAAAATTCTCATCAGTAAAAGAAAGTTCTGTTATGGATTCAGTGTAAACCTAGGCTAACCCCAGCCCTCCACCGAAACACAGTCTATAAAAATGACTACTAGTGAACTAACCGCACCTCACAGAGGAGGATGCTCAGATATGCCAATACTGGGAATGAAGAAGGCTGCAGAGCAGCGACAGAACAACAGCCACTGAAGTGGGAGCAGGACATCATCACAGATGCCAACTCACTTTACACTTTACAAAGTATTTCCACAACTGCAGAATCCATTTATTTTTCAGACAGCCTGCTGAGGTCCACAGCATTAAGTCCATTTCATGGCAAAAGAAATAGTCCCATCTTTTTAATTCGCAAATTCACACTGTTAACAGGTTCACATGACCCAAGTCTTCTCATTTTAAATTCAGCTTCTTAATATCAATTTTACTTTGTCTCTAATAAGTTTCTATTCCTTACAGCAATGTCTAAAGTCTCTGCCATCTTCCATAAAGACACAATGTGATCGCGATGGGCCTGCAGATATAATATTCAATCTGTCCTTGGGATATCTAACTGACTTTGCTGCTGTCTCACTGGAGATATCCAATATTTGAGACACTCAAGAAAGTGAGAAGTGTAAACCTGCCACGAGCAGGGAACCAGCTCCAGGGATGTGACTCACTGACCCTTCTTTGTGCCCACTTCGAGCTGGGCTTAAAGTTTCCCCAGCTATGAATCTTGGTTTTAGTTACATGCCCCAGACTGGTTCTCTAACTTCAGTGTACATGGGAGCCATCTGTAGGGTAGGAACATATGCGGAAACCCAGGCTGTATGCGCAGGGCAAGACTTGGTGTGTCTGGGGCAAGGTGCCACATCTGAACTCTTAGCAAGCATCCCAGTTAACACTGGTCCACTCCCAAGTTGGAGTCCGGTCCCTTCAAGATCAAACACGGCCCATATGCAGTAACCTGTGCTGATGAGCTGGACAGTACCACAGTATCCATAATAGTACAAAATCCCTCTTTCAAAACAGAGGCTGGAATAGCAGCTCAGAAGTAGCCTGGTATATGCCCTTCCAGAAACTTCCATCTCCAGGCCAGAGCAATCGAAGTCTAAATCACTGATCTCATGTCTAAACTTCTCGGCAACTGGCTGACACTACTTTTCAAAGAAATGCTTGGATTTTAGTGTTTGTCATTAATCTCTGTTGTCGAGGGAAAATCTGATTGCTATATATCACTTCCTATCAAAGCCCTTGGGAACCTGCATCATGCATTCTATAGGTGGACACATGTATGTGCAACACTGTGTCAAAGTCTAAATCAAGCTCACTAATAATACAGAGGGAATGGCTTATCCTCAAAGGATGGGTAAATTAAAATCTGAAAGTTAAATTCTAATAACTTACCTGAATGTAGAAGTTACTGGAGATGTCAGTATGTTATTCAAAAAGTCAAAATAAACGTCACTGATGATTTTCCAACCCATGTTTTCTGCATCACAAGGGGAGTCTTCGGAGAGGGCTAAAGAGAAAGGTATTGACATCAAATCGGGCATCTCAGACAAATCTAGACAAGTGGGAGGGAAGTGCTTCCCTGCTGCCTGCCTCAAGACCATTTCTGGGCAAGAGGGAGAGTTATTACCCTTTCAGAATGGACGACATTGACCCAAGAAAGACAGAAGAAAATAACAGACCCAATGTGAGCCCACCAGGTCTGGCAGTGTGAGTCCCGGGCATGGAACAAGAATAAAGAAGTGGCCTGGAAAGGTCAGCAGATGCAGCTGCCACTGGAACGCCAGCCAGAGTGCTGAGGGCCAAAGACCCCTGAGGGCTGCTGGCACCCAGAGGCCCAGCGTTCACGTCCCTCTAGCAGTCAGAGAAGGACGTGACCCGTGCCTGTGGGGACACTGCCCAAGCCCAGGCGGGTCATCCCCAAAAGGACCAAAGGGAACAGTGCCTGGTGGTCACCACGACAAGACATGTATTCTCTTTTCAGGGTCTCACAGCATCAATTTCAACTTCATTAACCATCGCACAGAATACGCACCAGGCTTTTCATCTACATCCAGACTGGGCACATCGCCAGCATTTCCTAACATCTTGAAAGCCAAAGCCCAAGGGCCAGCAAGATAGCTAAGCAGACGAAGCACCTGCTCAGGCAAGCAGAGGGACCGAGTTCGATCCTTGGCACCATGTGCAGTGCCAGCCACACCCCGGACATGCTGAGCTGGCCCCAACACTGGGCGTGGTGGCTCATGCCTACAACCCCAGCGTTGGGGAGGCTGAAACAGGAGGATCACTGCGAGTCTGAGCTGTGTAGTGAGACCCTGGACCAAATATGTGAGACCAAAAGGGAGGCTGGAGCCGTAACTCACTATTTAAGCCCTGGGTGAAATCCCCAACACTGAAGGGAAAAAGGGAACACAGAAATAATCACAAGGTTATGGTCTAGGGGTTGGTGAGATGGCTCAGTGGTCTAAAGCACCTACTTAAAACAAACTAAAAGCACAGGGACCGACCACGGTTCAATCCCCAGCACCACATGCCAGCCAGTCCCGCCCCCTGGTGGGCTGAGTTGGCCACACACACACACAAAAAAAAATAAAATAAAATAAAAAATAAAAAATAAAAAATAAAAAAAAAGGTTATGGTCTAGAATACTGTATTTGGCATCCAATAAAAAATTAATCTAAGGAGGGGGCTGGTGAGATGGTTCAGTGGTCTAAAGCACCTACTTAGAACAAGCTTAGCAAAGCACAGGGACCGCGGTTCACTCCCCCAGCACCACATGCCAGCCAGCCCCGCCCCCTGGTGGGCTGAGCTGGCCACACACGCACACACACACACACACACACACACACACACAATAAATAAATAAATAAACTTTAAAAAATAAATAAATAAAAGTAAAAAATTAAGGAAAGAAAATATGACTCTAATGTGGGAAAAAGTAATTAAAAGCTGAGAGAGATGGTGGAAATAACAGAGAAGACCACTAATCATGTATGTCGAAGGTTTTTTATTTTTAAAGAGAATACCAAAAAATAGTAAAAAAAAAAAAAAATAGAAATGCTACAGAACTTCACTAAACAAAACAATAGGAATCAACAATGGTTGTTATGTTGCATATTGTTGTCTTCAAGCTAGTTGTTCGGAGTACCAGATATAAGCACAAAAGGCTGGTCAAAAAAGTGATTTAAAAAATTAAAAAAGAGAGTGGGAAAAAACGGGAGCATTAGCTCCTCCTCTCAACAGACCGGCAGAAATCAGCAGCACAGTTGTCAAAGCTGTCCTGCGTATACACATACATCCTTCTCCTCCCCTTCCTTCCTTCCTTCTTTCTTCCTTTTCTCCTTTCCCTCACCCAAGACGTTCCTTCCCTCAGAACAGTTCCTTTCCCTTTCACAGTACTGACTGTACCTTTCAGATCGTTTTTCTAATTTTATGACATTGTTGTAAGTAATGTATTATCTATTTTTGATAGTTCGGGTAAAAGGAAAAACTTAGCACATTTGAAAAGGCACACCCTTGCCACCTGTAAGACAAGCAAATGAAATATAAAGATTGAAATAAAAAGAACAGAAAAGATTGCGCACCCAACATGAAGGAAAAGGAATCTATCCAAGTAAATTTCAGCTGCCAACATTATCATTTCATGATGATAGGCGCACTGAATAATCAATAAGACACGTTCGATCCCTGGTACTGCAAAAACAAAAAACAAAAAACAAAACAAGAAGACAGGGCATGCACAGAACAGACTTTCAAAACATATAGAACAAAAATTAATCAAATGCAAGGAGAAATGGGGAAATCCCCCTTATATTCCTCAAATTTAGCACATCTCAAGACAAAACATCAGAAAAAAGTAGAAAATCTGTGCAATATCATCAAACAACCTTACCCAAAGTTCACAGAACATTCCACCCAACAATACAATGAATATGTGCTTTAAGTGCCACTCACAGAACATTTACCATGGAAGACATAATCCAAACACCTCTCAACAAAGCTCATAAAACTTTGGCAAAGCCATACCAAAAAGTAATTAGCTAAAATGGAACTAAGTTAGAAATCAGTAATATAAATATGCCCAGAAATTTTCAAATATTTAAAAACTAAATGACGTAATTCTAAATGAAAGAAGAAACCAAGAGGGCTATTAGACATGTATGTACACAGGATAGCTGACATAATTGTACTGCTGATTTCTACTGATCTATTGAAAGGAACAGTTAACGCTTAAATTTTTTCCTCTTTGTAATTTTTTGACCAATTTTGCATGCTTATATCAGGTAGTCTGAACAACTAATTTGAAGACAGCAATATATGGTATAACAACCACTGCTGAAGTCAATAAAAAAGGAAAAGAAAATGCTTTGTACTAAGTGAAAATGAAAGTATGATACAACAAGAGCAGTTAGGATACTACTAAATAAATTATTAGGTAGAAATTTATACCAATCAACATCTACATTAGAAAGCTAAATGGCTTTGTACTGGTGACCTCAGCTTTTGTGTCAAAAAATTTAAAGTGAAGACTTAAACCCAAAGTAAGCTGAAAAAAATAAATAATGAAAATCAGAGAGGAAATCAAGGAAATAGGAAAAAGAAAACACTGTGGAAAAAGCAAGAGAACCAAAAGCCTGTTCCTTCAAACACATCAATAACTTTGATGTGGTTCTGTGTAAGACAATCAAGAAAAAAATACATTATCCATATGAAGCACGAAAGAAGCGCCAGGACCACAGAGGGTATGTACACTTAAATAATCATAACGAAATATTATGTTAAAGCTTTATGAAGCGAAATTAGGAAATGTAGATTAAAGAGATAAATTCCTTAAACGACTTCAACTACCAACCTTCAAACAAGAAGAAATGGATAGCTTGAACAGCCCAGTGGCCAGTAAAATAACTGACACGTTAGTACAGTTATGCATCACACGATGCCAAGCCAGTCCACAGCAGCCACACCCTCAGTGGCACAAACCACACAGTCCGGCTCGAGTAAGCACACACTATGGTGCGTGTGATGGGACGCAATCGCCTGATGACACACTTTGCAGAGCATATTCATGACCTTAAGTGATGCATTTCTGAAATATCTTCCTCCAAGGAACAATGAGAGCCCAGGCAACTTCACCAGGAAACATTTAACAATATCAATAGTACAGGAATCCTTCAGAAAGTTTCAAAAGAGCAAATATGGCTCATCTTACTCTATCAAGCTAGGCTCACCCTGACACCAAACAAAGGCAAAAGTCACAGAAGAAAAGAAAATTATAGACCAACATACTTAGTAAGTATAGATACAAAATTTCAAAAAAATTAGGTCAATAATAAACAACAGGGTAACACATCTTTCTCCAAGTGGGAGTTACCCCAGTTATGCAAGATTAAAAACATTCAAATATAGCTAATGTAATTTACCATTCAAACATAATTTAAAATCAAAAAAGCTACATAATTATCTCAATACAAGCATAAAATATCTAATAAAACTTGAAATCCATTCCTGGTTTTTAAAAAATTACTGGCAAAGTAGGGATTAAAAAAAAAACCTTGTTCATCCTAATAAAAGCTGTCTACAAAAAACCTATGGCCAACATGGTCCTGAGCAGCAAAAGACTCAGTGCTCCCAGTTCACCCCCAAAAATCACAGTACAAAAATACTCGCTGTTACCATCTCTACTGGAAACTCTGAAGAAATTGATAATCAAAATAGCTAAAAAATAAATTGGGCACCTTGTATAAAATGTAAGAATAGACAAAAATCAAATATACATGAGAAACATGCTACTAAACGTTGAAGCACTTTCAAGTCATATAATTTTAATACTATTGAAATATTAAATCCTTAGGGATAAATGCAACAAAAGATGTGAAAGACTTTAAAAATGGAGGCCACAAGAAGTGAACAAGAAATAAAAAGGAGACATAATAGATGGAGAGGTGGGGCTGGTGAGATGGCTCAGTGGTCTAAAGCACCTACTTAGAACAAGCTAAGCCAAACAAAGCACAGGGACCACGGTTCAATCCCCAGCACCACATGCCAGCCGGCCCCGCCCCCTGGTGGGCTGAGCTGGCCACACACAGGCACACACACACACACATAAATAAATAAATGTAAAAAATAAAAATAAAAAACATAGATGGAGAGGTACACCATGTTCATAGACCAGAAGATTCAGAACAGGGGGTGGGGACCCACGACTCCCTAAATTCATCTATAGATTTTATTCCTTCCTGGTTAACATTGCAACAACATTTTGAGAAACAGGCAAAGTCAGAAAAGCAAATGATCTAAGGTAGCTTAAAAGACCAAAGTTTCTGAAGAATGACGTTGTAAGAGAAGCATTCTTGACTGTAAGACTTTCTGTAGCCGCAACACTCGAAGGATTGTGGAGTTGGTGTAAAAACAGACAAGTAAAGCAGTGGCACATCAGGGTCCGTAAAAAGAAATGTAGGGAATGATCACCTGATATAAGTACAAAGCTTAGACAGACAAGAAAGGGCAGCACTCCTGGCACACCTTTTTTTTTAATTTTATTTATTTATTTGTGTGTGTGTGCGTGTGTGTGTGTGTGTGTGTGTGGCCAGCTCAGCCTACCAGGGGGCGGGCTGGCTGGCATGTGGTGCTGGGGGATTGAACCGCGGTCCCTGTGCTTTGCTTTGCTAAGCTTGTTCTAAGTAGGTGCTTTAGACCACTGAGCCATCTCACCAGCCCCTCCTGGCACACTTTTGTAGAACAACTGGATACTTATATGCCAACTAATAAACTTAAGTATTTCCTGCATCATACACAAAAATCAACTCAAAATGAGCACAGACATAGACATAAAACTTAAGGTATTAAAAGCCAGCGAGGGCTGGTGAGATGGCTCAGTGGTCTAAAGCACCTACTTAGAACAAGCTTAGCAAAAAGCACACGGACCATAGTTCAATCCCCCAGCACCACATGCCAGCCAGCCCCGCCCCCTGGTGGGCTGAGCTGGCCACACACACACACACACACACACACACACAAATAA